CTACATACAGACAATTTGTTTTAGTGACGAAAGTACTTTCTTTCTCAATGGAAATGTTAACACTCAAAATGTGAGGTATTGGAGTGACACAAATCCTCACATCTTTCGTGAAAAACATACTCAATTTCCAGAAAAAGTAAATGTTTGGGCAGGTATTTTGGGAAACCACATAGTTGGGCCTCTTTTTCTCAATGCTAACTTAACCGGTGAATTGTATCTGGAGATGTTACAAACTGATATTGAGGCGTTAATTCTTGAAATTCTAGAAGATAATCCAGATGAATTCGACAACTTGGAAATAACGTTTCAACAAGATGGTGCTCCTGCACACTATTACGGTGCAGTAAGACGTTACCTAGATGAAGAATATCGTGGTAGATGGATTGGACGACGAGGTTCGATCGAATGGCCAGCTCGGTCACCGGACCTTACACCATTAGATTTTTTTCTATGGGGGTACTTGAAATCTAAGGTTTACGCTACAGCACCTGACAGTATTGCCATTCTGAAACAACGAATTGTTGAAGAATGTAGGGCAATTTCCGCTGACACACTGGGACGAGTACGACAAGAGTTTAGCAATAGGATGCATTACTGCCAGGAAGTAAATGGAGCACATTTTGAACACTTATTATAAGAACTGGTTCTTAAATCTTTATTAATTAAATGCGAAACTATAATTTTCGTATTTCTTCAATTTATCAGTCAAAATTGGTATGACTGAATAGGTATTTTCAATACCTTTCAAACGAGCTGTCACTTGCCATAGGGTCCCATTTAAAATTTTTGGTCACAGTGGCCTTTTGACGTCATTTATGACTATTGCGTCACCTGTTATGACCAGTTAAGAAGCCTACATCCGTTTATTTCCACCCTCCAAATTTCATTATTATAAGTATACCCGTTCAAAAGATACAAGGGGGGGGAGGGAACTTTTGACTAGCACTGTATAGAATAGTGAAGAGAAATATCAATCTAATATATAAAAATGGAAGTTTGTTGGTTGGTTGGAGTAAGTGTTAAATTTCTACATTAAACTATAACGCTGCGCACGCCTGAGTTCGTTGATTCTGATTCTGTCAAAACAATGGAACATCAGCGATACAGCAATATAGTACTAATTAGTACTACAACTACCAAATTCTACGCGGGCGAAGCCGCGAGCAACAACTAGTAATGTATAGAAGATAAAAATGAAATTAAGTGAAATAATGGTGGAAATAAAAAAATAAACTAATTCAAACCAAGACACTTTGATATGTTTCGATTGTTAGTAACCATAATCGCCTTCCAGTGGCAACAAATCAAACATATTGACACAATTTCCAACATAATTTCCAGACATCCAAACACTAATAACATCTCTTTCAACGCACTTTTCGCAACTAATTAGACATATTCATATAGAAATAATTTCCATAAAAATGATATTTTGTGTCTCAAATAATTGTGTTCGCAGTATACCTACAAATCTAAATAAAAAATTCCGATACCGGGAATCGAACCCGAGCCTCCTGGGTGAAAGCCAGGTATCCTAGCCACTAGACCATATCGGATGGTGATTGACGTTATTTAATACTCTTATGAGATTCGGTTTTATATTTTCACTCTCGTAACTTGCTATTGAAAATTGTTGAATTGGGGTATTTTGAAATTATATAATTTCAAAGAAATAATCCAAATTTGTTTTGGAGTACTCATATATCTAAAATGGAGATTTGTAAAGCAATTCGAATAAAAGTCAAGGAAAAAGACTTTATGTTTTTCAATTTCAATTTCATTAATATACCTAATTCAATTCAATTCAATTAAAACACCAATTCCACAAATACATTAATGGTTGAATACAAATGATGTGCATCTCATCAATTGATTTGCCTTATCTGGGATTGGTATCTGCCTAGGCAAGGGAGGTGCCTGTTTTGCAGTACTGCTCCTCGGTTTTTACGAGAAAAAAAAAAGGAAAACAGACCATTTCATTTATTATGTAGTAACATTGCTATATTCTAAACCGTAACAGATACGAAGACGATTGAATGGGAAAAAAGGTAACTGTCATCGGGAACACTACAATGACAAAAATATTTACGAGGAGTCTTGCCCTTCTCGAGTTATACAGGGAAAACCAAAAATGATGTTTCCAATATGGCAATCTACATTGAATGCTCGAATTGACGACTTCTTTGTTGAATGCACATAAGTTGTCGGTCCATACAATTTCTGTGGCAATTTTCTAACATAATAGGTGTAATACTAATACATGCATCTCTTATTTTTTGTTTGAGATGGTCGATATCTGTACTTGGTATTGAAAAAACGTTATCCTTTATGTATCACCAGACAAAAAAATCTAAAGGAATAAGATCTGGGGATCGAGCTGTTATCGTGAACAATACAATGGTCGAAGAAAATTTACGGGGACTCTCGCCCGAAAAAGATCAAATATAAATGCTATAGGATACGCAAAGTTCATCACCTAAATGAAAGGGATTACGGAAGGAGAGTACGATTTGCGAAGTGGTTAGAAGCTAACATTCCCAAGAAAATGGATTGGAAACAATGGGCCAATTAACTGGCCAGCTCGATCCCCAGATCTTATTCCTTTAGATTTTTTTGTCTGGTGATACATAAAGGATAACGTTTTTTCAATACCAAGTACAGATATCGACCATCTCAAACAAAAAATAAGAGATGCATGTATTAGTATTACACCTATTATGTTAGAAAATTGCCACAGAAATTGTATGGACCGACAACTTATGTGCATTCAACAAAGAAGTCGTCAATTCGAGCATTCAATGTAGATTGCCATATTGGAAACATCATTTTTGGTTTTCCCTGTATAACTCGAGAAGGGCAAGACTCCTCGTAAATATTTTTGTCATTGTAGTGTTCCCGATGACAGTTACATTTTTTCCTATTTAATCGTCTTCGTATCTGTTATGGTTTAGAATATAGCAATGTTATCACATGACAAAAGAAACGGCCTGTATATACCTTTGAAACTGAAAATTTCAAAATATAGATACTAAAGTTACCTAATAGGGGCAACTTCACTAAAATATTCTCAAGATGGCGACACTTCCGTTATACCGGAAGTAAGTGTCAACCTCTTTATCTTAAACGGAACACCCAATATATTATTACATTTTTTGATTCCACATCAGAATCTAAATACTTTTAGTGCATAATGTTCTGTTTTTGACATATTTCAGTTTTTATGTCAAAAATAATGTTTGCAGACTCTACAATAACTTGGTTGGGTTCCTTGTATAGTAGGACTAAATTTAATAGACTTTTTATGGAAGTTCGATAATTATTAATACGGGCTAGTTGAAAAAGAAGAATATAAATGAAATTTAATAAACCGCCTGAAGTGAATTTTTTCAAACGGAAACCCCCAATTTTTATGATTTAATCGTATTGAGCATGAAAAATGAGGGTAACTTTGTAAAAGAATACCTATTTCGATAATTAGTAGTTTTTGAAATATTTGCAATTTCATATTTTTCTATCGACAGAATACTCGATACACGGTTTCTAAATTCTGTCAGTTGGCCATGAATGCCCGGCGTTAGAAAACAATCGATTGATACGATAATGTCACTTTTTGTCATTTGCAAATTGTCAATAATAAATCATGCCGGAACGATTAAATTACACAAACGAAGATTATTCTAATTTACTTATTATTTATGGAGAATGTATTGAAGTTATTTCAAGGACATGTGATACATTTGCGACCCGATTTTCAAAAAAAAAATCATCACCAAATAGTGTCAAGAAAATTATACAAAACTTTAAGAATTTTGGATCCATGAGAGGCAATCTACAGAAAAATGACCAAAACAATTAACTAGTTATCAAAGAAATATTCAAATAGAATGAGGAGTTATAAAAGCTTTGAAGAGAACCTGTAAAATCTATTAACTTTTAATATTTTTCCAGAAATGCATTGCTGGTATTTTAGAATTCAGAATTAAAATACCTTCTCAATGATAGTATTCAAATTTGGTGGATGACACCTCCGGTTAGAGGTTTTCCAATGATCACTTACCCCACGTTGTGGGGAGTGGTCATTGGTTGATTATGCTGGCGCGCCCTCCCGAATGTATCGGGGCTTCGGGGGATAGGGCCTGACCAGCGCACACTACGGTGAATAAAAAATAATAATAATAATAGCTTTATTGTCCAACAGTTACCCATTTACAGGACAATATAAAATTTTATTCACAATACTTGACCATAAAAGAAAAATGATATGAATAATAGCTTTATTGTCCAACAGTTACCCATTTACAGGACAATAAAAAAATTTATTCACAATACTTGACCATAAACGAAAAATAAAATGAACAAAAAAGGAAAACTAATTCTAATTACCTACTTCAAGTACACGTTAGCAATTCTAATAATGTTATGAAGGTAAGTGAAGAATAAATCACCATGGGCACAAATATTATTGAAATTTGTGCACATAACATATATTGGGGAATTGAGCATAATATTATTTCTTGCTCTGAGAGGTCTAAAAATGGATTGAGATCGTGAAGCTGGTACATTGAAGTTAATTTGTTCAAGAATTCTAGGACAGCCAACTCTCTCATTCACTAACTTGAATTAGTAAAATAAGAGTGATGCACATTTTCTGCGATTCTCTAAACTAAAAAGTTCCAAACGTTCACATATGACATCATTACTGATACCTCTCTCAGGATAATAACCATCTATTCTGAAAATTAGAAATTTACAAAACTTTCTTTGAACTCTTTCAATGGCTATGTTATGAATCTCATAGAATGGACTCCTGACGATACTTGCATATTAATATATTACATGCAAAATTTTCCTGAGCTGACAACCAAAATGAAATTTTTCTAAACGGACAGTCAATGAAGAATTTCATGTCAAGCCTTTACCTCGAATCGACCGTACTACAACCAAACTAAACACGATTAATACAATAACGGTGAACCGATACCCTTGACCCGAGTTGCAGTTCTCTTCTCGGACGAACCGACGATGCCGGGGACCGGTTAGATGACCGAAGACACCGAAGAAGACTCTGGCCACGAAAGAAGTCATGTATAAAACCCGAGAGAAGAGTTCACCAGCATCAGTCCGGATCTAAACATGATCTCAAAAAGTGTCGCCATCTTGAGCTTTCTCACCATCGCGTACGCAGCCACAATCCAGCAAAAGAACATCCCCGTGGAGATCCGGTACGATGATGGGGTGCAAATCACCCCTAAGGAGCGGCGGGAAGTTGCTCAAGAAGTTGATAAGGAAGAGCTCGCTGTTAAAAATTTGGACGCCAAGGTTCAGCTATCTCCGGAAGAACTTTCAGAGTCTCTGAAGCATCTGCCAATCCAGGAAGAAGTTATGGAAGGAGGAAATCACGTGGGAGCTACAGAAGAAGTTGCTGAAGAAGTGCTTGCTGTTGAAAATTTAGACGCCAAGGTTCAGCTTTCTCCTGAGGAACTCGCAGAGTCTTTGAAGCATTTGCCCGTCCAAGAAGAAGTATTGGCACAAGAAACTCCAGAACAACCAGCTGATGGGCCCCAAGTCACGAATTCACAGTTGAAAGGGGTGTTACAAGATATTCTTGAGGAGGGAGCCAAAGAAGACTCACATACACAGACTGATGGTAGAGAATCTGCAGGAGCTATAGGAACAAAAGCTTCAACCTCCTCTTTGGAGAGAAAGCTCCAGCATCTCCGAGATATTGTCGTCACAGAGCTCCGGGCACTCAGAGAAAGCATCCAGCCGAAAAAGGGTCAACTGATCCCCAAGCCTGAACAATGGGACGAACTGGAGAAATCCATAACCAGAGTATACGAGGAGCAGATAAATAAACTTATGGCGAAGCAAACTCAGTTGCCCGAGCCTACTGGTGGAGAACCTGGACCTGCACCTACGCCTGGACCATCACAACCCCCTGCTGCTCCAGCTGGTGGTCCCAGCACAATTTTTCAGAATTTCATCAACGGGGTGAACGGGGTGATGCAGAATTTTATGCAGAATATCCAACAGGTTGCCAGGCCGCCTGCTGCTCAAGGGGACGAAGGAACAGGCCAACCTGCTAACTCTGGAGGGTTTGTAGGATTTATTCAACAGGGTGAGTGAATTTGATAACTATTGTTATTTTCGTATCGGCTTGTAATAACTGTTGAAAATGAATTTTGATAAAATTCATCACCTAACTTAGGTCCTTCTCAAAATTACCAATAACACTTGAATTGTTTCGAGTGACTGTGTCGAATATCTTGGATTAATTATCGTGAAACATCTAAAGCAAATTTTTATTTTTTTACCCACTTTTTCAAAATGGGGAGTACGAAAATTTTTTTTGCTAAAACGACAAATAGATAGCATCCTGTATACGACAAATAGATAGCATCCTGTATACGACGGTTCATTTTAAAAGCCTGTAATATTACAAATTACACAACTATGGTGTTAACATGGTGTTACAGTAAATTAGTTTTCAAAGTTTTTGATGCAAAGTTATTTTCATTTTGTGTTAACAACGAAAATTACTCAAAATTATTCAGTATTGTAAAAAGAACCCAATATTCAATAATATTAAATCACAAAACATCAAAATAAAATAGGCATTTCGGTACAAACTCATTGATTTTCTGGAGATTCAACTTGAAACACTTATTTTGGACAAGAAAATTTCCAGGAAATCACTGAGTTTGTTCAGAAATACATATTTTATTGCGATGTTTTGTGATTTGATATTATTGAATATTGAGTGTTTCTGTTACAATACTGTAAAATTTTGAGTAATTTTCGGTGATAACAAAAATTAAAATAACTTTACACCAAAAACTTTGAAAATTAATTTACTTTTCAAAAAAATTGACCGTGGTTTACACAATAGTTGTGTAATGTTCAATACAACAAGCTTTTAAAATGAACCGTGGCATACAGGATGCTGTCTATTTATTGTTTTAGCAAAAATTTGTTTTTCGTAGTCCCTTCAAATCTAGATGTATTTTTTGAAGCTAAACAACTTTTCTCAATAACATTTTCCGAAATTTTTCTTGTCACAAAATCAAATATTTCAAGGTTCCTCGTATATTACGTATGTTGTAGTGTATTTTGTTGGTGCATGTTTAGTTTTACGGGATGCACAAACTTTTACCAATTATAACTTTTTGTCGAAAAACCCTTAATAAATAAGTTTCCCATATGGTACATACTTTGGGGATGACACTGAATATATTCAAGTGTCGATTAAATATTCATTTCAGCCGAATGACTGCTATTTTATTCAGTACAAACAATATTTATATACTTGAAGTATTTTACCCCTAAGTCGATTTGCATTGCATACTGTTGTCCGGGTTGGAGCCCCTGCTTTGGAGCCAATTTCAAGAATTTTTGGAACTGTCACCCAGGTAGCTGTAGCTACCTCCGTGGTGATTTTGATAGTTTTCTTGTAAACACAAGATCTATTAACTGAAACCACAAATGTGCGGCTGGCTCCTGCTGGTGGCTCCGTGTATTTGTATTTCTTTCTTTTGGTAACCAAGTGTTGCCCATCCTTACACTTGGCTGCACTATACTGATGATGGGCCAAAAGCCCGAAACACGTGTCTATGGTATGCCACTTTCTTGAGTGCTATGTCCGATTATTAACTTCTGTATCTATATCAAGACACTCAATAACTTTCATATTTGTGACAGATGAAACAGATATAAAAACAGGAACATATTTTTGGTGTTTTTTGTACGGTTTTTTCCTAATGAGAGAGTTTTTCATTTGGAATAATAGTAGGATGAATAAACGTTTTCCAATAAGAAAGGTTGACTTTTTGTTTTGATTTTAGAAAAAGAAGTTGCCTATCTCTTCAACTTATTATTATGTTCATCCCTATAAAAAATATAATTCCAGAAATATGTAAATCCAGAGTGGAAAACCAAGCATAATCTGATTTCATAAGGAAAAAATTCAACGAATCGACTCTGAGAGAATGGGGGGTTCTGATAATATGACTTAAAAAAATCAGTCAATTTTTTTCATGTTAGTTTTTGCACAATCTTAAGCCCCTGGCAAAATCTCATGACGCATCATGTAAACATTGAATTTTCTCACAAATATTTGACTTTATTTCAATTTAGTAATGAATAATCTCATCGAAGGTGTTCTATATGGATATTAGGATGAATATCCAAATTGAATATAAATAATAAACAATACTAATTTGAGTGTGATTTCTTTATTACTCTGAAAAATGGATGCTGACAAGTAGACTGTGGATCGGAAACCGTTATAAACAAAGAACTGGTTTTTACATCAATATATGGATTCCCGATACAGGATGATAAAAAGACACAAACATAACAAAAGGTTAACCTAATCCGATTGATGTTTGAAATATACAAAGGTTTGAATTCTAGATAAAAATATTTGCTAGTTTCAAAATGCTGGTTAGGACTTTTTTCTTTAGTTGATCAATTTTCACTGGATCACCCTGTACGATGTCACTTTCTATAAGAATGGATTTGGATTATTGAACTCTGTGAATTTTCATGTTACATACTATATATCCTAACGCTCTTTTGCATTTTGAAGGCTTCACAAATATCATGAACATCTTAACCAACGGAGGACAAGTCCAAGGAGGTCCGTCGACATCAAGCACTGTGTTGGGAGACACTGGCACCCCAGTTCAATCTTCCAATCCGTCTGGAAATCCCTTTACAAACTTCTTTGGCGGGGTGGTGAACAACGTTCAAAACTTTCTGGGAATACAGTCCGGTGGTGCCCCAAACACAGGAGCAGTTCCAGGAGTACAAGGTAACCTAGTGCAGATATTAAACGCAATGTCACTGTAACATGAAAAAATTAGAAAAAAAATGCCCTCTTTTGTTGAAATTTTTTACGAGAATAGAAACTTTGTACCCATACATTTTGTCAAAAATATGTATTTTATTCTCGTTTATTCACATTTGTACTATCTTATTTCTGTTTGGGGAATAGCAAGTAAATCTATGAATTTCATTAGTTTGGACTTCCATTGTCTAATATTATATAAAAATGATTTGAAATGCCTAAAAGAACCAATAAAAATTAAATTAGGTAGAATAGCTGGGAATAATAATTATATTACCATGGAACCTTGGGAATACTGAACTAGACGCCTTCTTGAAACACATCAACAGCGAAAGACCTTCCATCACTTTCACAATGGAGAAGAAAGTCCATAAGGAGTTACCGTTTTTAGACGTATTGGTGAAGAGTGGAAGTGGAAAACATCTGTATACCGAAAACCCACTCACACGGGACAGTATCTGAACCACGAATCCAACCACCATCAATCGACTAAAAGAGGAATCATCAAAACTCTATTAGACCGTGCTTTCGGGCTCTGTGATACGAAGGAAGGTCTCGAGAAAGAACTAGACATCATCAAAAATGATCTTCAACGGAACGGCTACTCCAAAGCAATGGTGGAACAGACTTTGGAAGAGCCTCGCAAGGAAGATATGCCGTCACAATCAGTGCTGGCACTTCCCTATATCAGAGGATTATTAGAAAGGAAAAGAAAAATTGGGTTCAAGTACAACATTAAAACCTTCTTCAGATCAGGAAATAAATTTAATAAACAAATCACGTAAAAAATGCATATCCTATGTTAATAACTGCCATTGTTCAATGTGAAAACAGACATAGCTACAATTTTCAGATATTTCATTTTGCAATAGTTATAAAAAATCATAATTAACAAATTAATAAATTTTTATGAACTTTTATCGCAGTATCGTATGAAGCATATATATCAAAATGGCTCCACAAAGTTTGAAATTTAAAGCTTTTATCCCATTATTTATGCCAACGGAGATTGGGAAAAATTTTGTAAGTTAACAAATTAATAACTTTTTGAAAAATGGTGATGAAACTTTTTTTCTACGGGACTCGATTCATTCAAGTGTTAAGAAGATACTAGATTTTTTCAAATTTTCAAAATGACATTTTATGTTATAAAAAAATCATTTCTTTTGAAAAACTATCTTTAGCGGCAGCGCGCACATGCCGTAACAGCCGCGCGGAACCCTATTTTCAACATCAAATTAAAATTATAAATAATGGAGATGTGGTTTCGGGAGTCGGCACTTTTTTATCGGAAATTCCCTCCTCTTCAACGAGCTTTTTTCAAAATTGATTAAATAATAATATTTTTTGAGTTATTAACGAAAAACTAAATACCATTTTTTTAAATCTTATATTGTTAATAACAATTGCAATTTTTTACCTGCACCAAAATCCTTCAAAAACATTTTTCTAGAGGTGATTCCGAATCGAATGAGCTATCATATTTTTTTTTAGGACCTTAATCTCGATTTCTCATGTTTTTGAACTTGTTGATTAGACTATTCTGTTCCACCAATTTCACGAAGGATATAGAGGATTGCGCCTCTTCTTGCTGACCCGACGTGTCGAACGATATTGCGCCTAGATTTATGATGGAATTGGCCGATACTTGATGAAAATCCATAACTCACGTATTAAAAAAAACACTTTATTGTGAGATTTTCACTAAACGATTTTACAAAAATGCAACACGTGTTTCGCCATACAATGGCTTCTTCGGGCGTGTCCTTACTAACTAACCAAGAACTCTTCCCAATAACCAGAAATACAATACACTTCTTAACGCGCTTTCAGTCAATCAAGTTGGTATCTTCAGGAGATGAAGAGGGCAGTTTTTGAAACGTGCGTCGATAAGAGTATTGCATTTCTTGTTTTGGATTCATTTTATACCAGAGGTTGAAGTTTAATAGTGAAACTTGATATTGAAAATACCCCCTTGATCATACCAATTGATACTTTCAGGAGACACAGGTGTTAGTCCACCCAATCAGCAAAGACCTGCAGCTCAAATAGTTAACTCAATAGGTAAGAAAATTAGGTTTTCCATTTTTTATGATTATTCTATTAATGGACAAAAAACTCTTGCAAATTTTAAAAGGCTTCGTTTTTGATATAACTGTTCTGGTCCATAAAATTTGTGATAGGTGAATGAATTCTTCAACTTATGTCAGTTTTGAAGTATCAATATCTACTTTCAATAAATGGTGAAAAAATCACATTTGTAAACGAGATTAGGTATTTGGGTTTCATGCTAGATAAAAATATTTTGATGAAATTTGTAAACGGGCTAACAAAATGTTGGGATTTATTATAATATCTAGCTATTCGTTTGTGAACGTATTCATGATGAAATATCTTTTTTCTGTGACGGAAAAAAAGTTTGACATTTTATCTCTGATGATTGGTAACAAAATGTCACTTTTCATGAAATTACTTTTTTCAATATTAAATCGTCGTTTTTCCCATCACAGAAAAAAATTGTGTATTATACACGGGAAAAAACTAGATTTTAGCTCTCGAGCTTGAATCTAATACTTTTTTCCTTGTATAATAAATAACTATTATATCACACTTGTAAGACCAATATTAGAATTTAGTTCGCTCATTTGGAAATCCCAGCCACAGATGCATTTAAATACAAAATAGGTTACTGAGATATCTATACTATAAAGAAAAACATTGTTTGCCGGATTACAGTTCCTCAGTATCCTACAAGAAGTCTAATTCTTTTTAAACTACCCAAGGCAAGGTAAAAAATAACTGCTCTGAGTCTTCTCTCAACCATGCTTCGTGAAGCAAATGAAATTAATGTTTTAAAAAATTTAGATTTCAGTTATTCCTTTTCAGGTTTCAGATATGATGTTATTAATTATATTTATTAGACATATAACTGTGATCGTAGAGAATAAGTTTGAAAATAAATCTTTCAGTGTATAGAAGTTAACTCACACAATCAATTTGTAATAAGAATTTCCATGTAATTAGGCTATTAAGTCTGTATGAAAATGAAATAAAATGAAATAAAATTTATACTACTTACATTGCGACATTAGTTCATCAATTTGTTATGCTCACTCTTGTTACAGGCAATACAATAAATTCCTTCTTTCAAGGAAGACCACCAACCTCCACCAGCGATTCGGCAGCATCACCGCCCGCAGGAAACGGGACAGGCAACATTTTCTCGACCATTGGTAATGCCATCCAGAACAGCCCATTGAATGTATTCAGGCCACAAAATGGAGGACAAACTGGTTCAAACCCAATTCAATCAGGTTAGCATTTTTAGGCAGAATTAAATAACGTTGTTCCTGTCTTTGTTTATTGAATTTCATATCATATTTGTATTCAATGACAATGTCAGTCAAACATCTGAAAAACTTCAGAAGAACGCCAACATGGAAAATTACGAGTTCTCGAATGAAAGCAAAAAGAAAGATAGGGTCAAAGAAATGTCAATGGAAATCGACGCAGACGGAAATCAAAATTTAAATTGAGAAATTTGCCTTATAGATACATTAGGAGGCCTTTGTACAACTGAGTGAAAGAAGAAGAAGAAGCAAAAATACAGACCAGTATATCATGTCCTCTCCAAAATTGGGTGGAGTCAACAGATGATGACATGGCGAAAATGCACCTCCAAAGTCTCTCTTACGAAAATATGGTAGAAGTCATCACTCTTTTAGCAAGTAACTTCCAATACTTTCTGAAGACTAAATCTTTCCGTTAATCAGTTGGGGAAAAACAACAAAAATTTGTTAATTTTCCAATGTGGAAAATATTGTGCGACTGCAAAAATGTCTTGGGGGGTGGAGCCAAAGAATCGATTAACGTTTTACTGAAATAAGTGATCCTAAAGGTAAAATCAATACCTACGCTCTATTTGAGGCAGGCTCTATAAATACCACTGCCGCTCTTCTGGACCAACAGAAAGTTTGAAACTCAGTTGAACAATTTCTATGACCTGCGAAAAGATCCATTCAAAAAAATGAAGTGACGAAGAATGAAGGTGCTGAATACGATTTGGAAGATGTGTAAGAACTACCCAAAAATAAGCTCTTCCTTTAGAATCAATTTAATCTATTAGTCTAATCAAAAAAAGGAATCATCTGTAACGAGTAGATATTCAATGCATGTACTAGGTTAAGTTAGGTCTAAAGTGAGTGGGTCTATTTGAACATCCACCGCAACCCGCAAGGGTTTATTGTGGCTCACACTTATTCACACTCGACCAAATAAAGCCAGCTTCTCAACGAAACCGATTAGTTTGTATGGTGAGTGGTCTTTCAGGTCAGATAGTAAGAGTACGACCCTGCCGAACTCTAAAAATCTGATTTGGTCCCCATCGGGGCAGGTACAAAGTATGTTCTCTGCTGTTTCATCATTTTCCAAACAGAGGCGACACACACTGTCTTCCGACAGTCTGAGTCTCTGCATATGATGATTCAAATGACAGTGACCTGTAAAAAGACCTCTTAGACATCGTAGTTCATCCCTACTGTAGTCCAACAACTGTTAGGTATCAAGCTTAGAAGGGTAAATAATCGCCAATTCTGGAAGATTCTGCCAGAAGTCCATAAATATTCTTGCCATCCAGGTGTTCAATGTTTGTTTGGCAAAGCCTAAGGCGATGCCAATGGGAGGTTCTGGTACGATGGAGCTACTTGCAGCACCCTCCTTCGCAAGGGAGTCAGAGTGCCTCATTGCCTTTCAGGCCAGTATGTCCGGGAATACAGACCAGAGACAATTTGTTGAATCTTCCTATCGAGGAGAGTCATTTTTGGCAATTTGCTACCAATTTAGATGTTGCTCGATAGGAGCCAAGAGCTTCAAATGCCGCTTGACTGCCCGAGAATATTTTTATTGACTTGTATATGAGGTTGGATTCTTCCAATCTCTCTCGGCACACAATTCAATAGCGTAAACTTCCGCTTGAAATACAGTCCCTAGGCATGTTGATATCTCTGTCCTGGGTCTGCGACTGAAAAACACCTGCACCAGAACTGGAAGGTGTTTTTGATCCATCTGTGAACCAACAACTATCTGCTATTAATATTTCCTTCTCCCGGAGGATACATTCCTCTCTACTCGGGAATAGTATTTTATAAGGCAGTTCGTAGTTGAAAGTTGGAGGCATAAAGTCAGAGGTCATTTCCAGAATGCTGTGACTTCCTGTGTCAACCAACAGTCTGTTGCACTCTGCAACGCAATTGGCAATGTGCACAAGTCTGTATGAAGTATAGCCTCTCTCTCCAGAAAAATGTGGAGAGGAGGTAGATCTAGAAGGATCTCCATGGCTGCTGATGGTGTGGTACTGATGGCACCACTGATGGCCAGACAAGCATGTACTATGTAAGACCACAAATTTTTAACAGACAGGACAACATTGATCTTGTCATTGTGAGAGAGAAGTCCACGAAAGAAGAAAATCCAACCTTCTTTGTCTAAATCGAAGTTGGGATGGGTTGCACATGGAAACAACAAAAATCAATATTTTCAGCGAAGAGATTGACAGTTTTTCTTTTTCACCTATTCAAAATTGAAAATTTGAGTGTGAAAAATTATAAAACATCACATCTAAATGATATCAGTGACTCTAAAATTTTGGATGTGAGAGGATATGTCCAATCAGATAGGAAACTAGTATTTTATGAAGAATTGGCAATGTTACTCTATTGAATAAGAAATTTACTTCTTTGAACTGATTGCAATGCATTAAGAAAAAATCGACAGAAACGGAGATTTCGGTCTTGGAAAATGAAATAAATGAATATTTGGAAAAAAAGTGTGCTCGAAATTGTCCACGGAAGAGATATCAAAAGACTGTCCTAATGAACCCTAACCATTACTATTTGTTTTTTTATGATTGATTAGGACGTTAACTGATGAAGATCCATAGTAATTTCATAAACAACACCTTACGATTGGATCTCCACAAACTTCATTCAAAACACACTAGTCTTTTTGTAGTCAAATACGTACTAAAAGTTCATTCTTAACTCTAATATTTATATACCCCACGTAATCACAATTGAGACCACCTACTCAGGTACTTACTCGATCATAATTACCTGAAGCATCTACTGAACTTTTATATACTTAAACATACTCAATTACGATTACCTATATCGATTCTACATCAATAATAATAATTCATCGGTTTCTAAGGAAACATGTTCAATAATGCAGATCTATTTGAATCCAGTTGGTCATTCAGTAAAATGTTTGAATTTTTAAGTTCATTAGTTTCCATTGCGTCCAAATGATTCAGCTTTAAACCTTTATTTTCTATGTGTCAAATTTAGAAATCTTCATTCAAGATATGATTTTCTTCTGAAAGATGTATTTGAATATGTTGAATTTGTTTTCTTATTTACATAGCTCATATGATGTTCCTGGATGCGATTTCTGAATGTTCTGCCAGTTTGACCAATATATACCCCAGGACAAGTTCCACACTTCAATTTATATACTCCTGATTTATCGGATTTGGATGTTTTGCCTTTATTATTTTTAACAAACTTTCCCAACGTATTACCTGTTCTATACGCAATTTTAATAACTTGTTTATTAAAAAATGAGGCCACTTATCAATAGGAATTATCTAACTTATCAATAGGAAGAACGTCCCATATTCGCTCTTGCGTAGATTTTTTTGGAAGGTATTTTGTCTATCAATTCAGGTTTGAATCCATTGTTTATTGCGATTTGTTCAATGATATTGGAAGATAGATAGAATTTTCCTGAAAGACATACCCATGAAGTACAAATCAGATCTATCCATGGGAATGCACAGAGATTGTCGTGGGAGGACCGACAAAATCATGATGGCTAAGATTTTTGGAGCAGTATCATCTCTGAAATTGGTCCATGATGTTATGTGGAAATGATGAATATTGCTTCTAAACAAATGAACTAACTTTGACACCCATACAGCATCAAGTCGAAACATTCTCACTACAATACACCAATTGCTTTCAACAGTAAAAATGAATTTCATTTGAACGTTATTTCTATTGACTATGAACTATCTCTTCCTCTGGTAATATTCAACAGGATATCTCAGCTGACATTGTCCTTTCCAGGCATACAATCTGCAGGAAACCAGATCCAACAAGCAGTTTCAGGCATTCAAGGACAATTGGGCTCTCTTCCTGGTTCTAGTCCTGCAGAAGGATCGTCTCCAGCTCCACCAGTTGTTGAGTTACCAGATGGACAGAGGAAACCCGTAGCAGAAAGCAGTATCCAAACGAAAAAACCCGTAAAAGTAGAGAACGACAATGAAATTGTACAGAAGGTGGAGCAAAAGGAGGAAATTTTGACGACAATTGAATGAACTATTATATTTTATAATTTGAGTGAACTGTAATGCGTATAGTCTGATATGTATTTATTTAAATTATTCTGGAGATAAAGTGAAATCCAAGATTCAGCGGAATATTATTACAGGTTGAAAAATAAGAAGTATTATTTCTGAATCGTTTTGGTATTTGAATTATATTTGTAACCTCAAACTGAATTTTTTTTTGGTTTGATAAAATAAAGATGTAAATTGATTCAGAACACATAACATCAGTTCACCATGATCAATTTCACAAAAGAGGAGTTCATTGTAGAATATTGGAAGATGAATGAGGCACGCTTGTCAAAACTGACGTATATTCAATTGAATATTCATAGTGACGAATTGGATAATTCAGTAAAAACCTTAATGGTATGTGAATAAAGAATGGAACAAGTAGATACCTAAAAATATTCAGAAACAATTGGAGATACAAATAGTGAAATGAATGAAGATATAAATTTAATGTTATGAGGTCATTTTTTTCAGAAGCCGACAATTAGGTATAAAACCCAAGTCACCTCCTGTCCGTCCAGTTCTTGGAAGATGTATGTCCACTATGAAGGTATCTTTCATCAAGAAACACAATTGGTCGCTGTTAGCTATGAAAATATTTGTTTTTTTGTAAATACTTGATCCTCAATGCCCGTATGTCCATTTTATCCATTGAAATTTTTCTATTATTTTTATTAGTTCTATTAGTTTCAGTCCTTCTCCATTTGAAACCTATTTACTTTTTAAATTCTACGAAGAGTTGTTTCGGAAGCCACAATTCCCAAAACGTCATCAATTTTGTGTTCGAACTTCTTTACCGTAATACGACACCCTTTCGTCTTATGGAAGTCGTAAATATTTCGCCTAATATTGGAATGCTCATACTCGGGAAGATCAGTTACTGGTGCTCTTCTAGGCCGCTTCTTTCTTGGGGTAGAAAATTTTACTTCTCCGTTATTTGCAGAAATTAATCGACCCCTTCCTTTAACTCCTATTTCAATGATTTTTATTAAAATACTTAATACAAAATAAAGATTTGTGTTGGTAGAGTTATTTTTTAGTTTTATTTAATATTACCTGTAGCCAGAGATGTTTTTCTTTCACATTAGATAACGTATCCGACTCACATTCAACACTTTGAAAATAATTGAACACTTTAAAAATTATTTTACGTGTCTGACTCTTGATGACTGGGTTTTTGTAAAGCAAATTATTCAGACAAAGCCAAACATCAACCAATCAATCAATCAATCAAACATTTATTGAATCAGTTTTCATTTACAATCACATTAGGCAAACATCATCATAAAATACTGGCTGATACAACAGGTCAAATTATTATAAAAAAACAAATACAAAGCATAACTAAATGAAAATAAAATTACTAAACTACAATCAAATTATGATTATGACTCAAGGGGAAACTCATCCACAGAGTAGTATGCTTTCTGCAATAGAAAAACCTTAAACTTCCTTTTAAAGACATTGATGTTTGAGGACTTAATGTCTTTACTAAGCTTATTATATAGTTTAATCCCACAGCACTTGGGGTGATTCTTCGATACTGTCAATATACTGTAAGGCTGATAAAGTTGAAGGTTATTTCTGGTGAAATGTTCATGGATTTGCTCAATTCTAGGAATAATTGAAATATTGCTTCTTATATATATCAGAGTTTGGTAGATATACAAACTAGGCATTGTTAATACACTATAACGAATGAATAATGGCCTGCAGTTTGCACTTGAAGATGCCCCAGTCAGAATTCTGATAACCTTTTTCTGAATAACAAACACTTCATCAGCTTTAGCTGATAAGCCCCACTGTTCAAGACCATAGGAAATCACTGACTGAATTGAACTGTGGTATAAAAGCATGAGAACATCAAAAGAGACTGTTTGTTTCAGCCTACGAAGTAAATATATATGTTTACTGAGCTTCAGTTTGACACTATCAACATGGAAACTCCAGGTAAGTTTATTATCAATATCAACACCCAAAAATTTAGTACAATTAACTTGATGTAAAGTTTCATTATTTAATCTTACCAAATAGCTTTTATCAATAGTTATATTTTTAGTAACAAAGTTGAGCATTTGAGATTTGGCAGAATTTAGCAGCAGGCCATTTGTAGAACACCACTCCTCAATTTGATCAGTTACTCCATTAGCTTTGACAATTACTTCGGACATAGTTTCCGCAGATACCAAGATATTAGTGTCATCCGCAAAAATTATAATAATGGAAGCTTTCGAACAAAATTTCGGAAGATCGTTAATAAAAACCAAAAATAAAAGAGGTCCTAAAACAGAGCCTTGAGGTACCCCTCTTACTATACATTTACTTACAGAGTTAATTCCATTCACACAGACCAGCTGACTATGGCCAGTCAGGTAAGATCTAACCCAATTCAATGTAGGACCACGTATACCATATACAACGCCTCTGTATTTGTATGTTTTGCAAGAGCTGTAGTGAGGGTTACGTTGAAAATGAGTTTGTGCGCATGGTGGCGGGCTCGCCATCACGTTTGGCGCTTGCTGTAAGTTTTTTTGAAAAGGTTGCTTTCTATTCATTGCAAAGCATTTCTTTCTAAAGGTAGCAAAGGTAGCAAACAAAAGCTCTTTTTTTGGATCAGTTTCTGATTGACTACTGTAGTATGGCGAAAATCATAATTTGTCTTGAGACATAAATTTAGTACCAGAAAACTAGATGGCATGGCAATGAACTTAATAAAAAAATGCACAAAACTTTCATCTACCAGTTTTAATAACAACTGAACTTCGTATATACGTTACATTTAGTATGTCTTCATGAAGGTTTCTTCATTCTGAACGCTAAGGTGCCCCTTTGGTAGCCTGCAAATATATGAAAAAAATAATTTTTGGCACTTATGCTCTTAGATAGATAGTTTTTTATTTCTAACAAGTATAAGTACACCCAATAACAGGAAATGTTATTGGGTGTACTTATAAGATAAATGTATAAGATAAATGTATATTAAAAAAAGGAAATGTTTCAATTGCGATTGAAATGTACATCCACATGTGTGTGTGTGTGTTAGCAGGTTTTGATACTACAAAAAAAATTACATATTGTAAGTAAACGTCATGATATAATTTACTATAAAAGATAATGGAGATATGATATTAATGTCATATGAACCACATATCAGATTGAAACTATTTCAGTGATTGTTCTAGTGCGATCACAATAAAATACCTTTGCATGCCTACTACGTACATTAATAATTATTAACTAGCCCATGTGGACTTGTGTAGACTTTGCGGTTCGTATTGGTTAATTGTTACTAACCGAGTTTTATGGATGAAAATATTTATATAATAAATATTTATTTAATGAAAATTTACGAAGAGAAATTGGGAATACGGGGATGGTTACCGCTGTCGTGTTCAGTTCAGGAACCGATCGCGATTTGAGTGTTGAACTTCGATATTGATGCAGTTATAATTACTTAAAATTTTCGTTATCTGTTTAAAATATGGCGTCCTTGGACAAGTACTAATAGTAATAACGAGTGTGATAACAACGCAGACTTTTTCCAGTGTAGTGATTACACTAGCGATGGTAAACACTGCGAAAAAGAGATACCAGTGAATAAGATTCGAATGCATTTGAATATTGGAACACATAGAGTATGTTACAATGTATATTAAGAATCTACATCTCAAGTTTGGTTTCGACGGAAACAAACTATTACAAGCAACATCAGATTTGACCAAAATTCATTTCTCAACTGTACGTAAAATAGTCAAAAAAAAACCCTATGAACACAAGACGCGATGTAATACAGGATTACTAAAACTTTCGCTTGCAGCAATTCACAGTTTACATTATTATGTAGTGAATTATAAAGGAAAGTTATGGTTTTAATGATACGTCTAGTGTTTAGTGAGATGAAATTGCTTTCATTGAGGAGCATTGAGTAATCAGTATTGCGGTAAGTCTTCTCAAGACTGGTGGGAAGCTGTCTGAGCGCACTCATGGAGCTAAGTACCCAAAATAGGGTCATTATAGTTTGGGTATCCAGACATGAGGGTCATAAGGGTAGTGAGGAGGCCCATGTTCTGGCCTGTGAAGGCGCATCCAAGGCTATGATCGCCCAGAACCCTTCTGCGGGGTAGCGAAAGCATGTATAAAGACATTCATATACAGGGCTTTTCATGATGAGCGCTAATTAGCCGTTTCTGGCAAACTATTCAACGGATCAACCTGAAAATTCCACAGTATGCATAAGTCAATATGACTTACACGCCTGAAATGTTTTAGACGAAGCGGCGTTGTCGCTTTTACTATAAAGTAGCGGCTTCTTTGATTTTTCAAATGGAACACCCCGTATATAATGTCATATTATAATTCATTATCACTTTGTCAACAAATTCATATACTATTTCCCTATACCTATCTATTACCGTTTAGAAGATATAAATTAATTTCGATGTTTTTTTTACCAAACATGAACTTTTATAAATGCTGATAATCTTTATCACAATCAGTCAAAACCACCAACGAAAGTCTGACGTTACATAATTGGTTTATTTATTTTTCCAACGCACACTATTGAAAAATCTTAATGTGTACTGTTGTTGTACGTTAGAGACCAATACCTCAATGTATACAAATTGTAACTTTTTCTAAGGTAGGTACATACCAATTTCGAATTGATTGATCTGAGACAGTTAAAAAAACTGGATCAGAAAGAAATATTACTAAGTATAAAAAAATGTTGAATATCCAAAATGAGTGATGAATTCAAAAAAACGAGCAAGAAAACCACGCCAGTTTCCGTTTGAAACAGTTTATCTAGAATACGGTTCAAAATAGAAATAGTATTATCTGAACAAAGTTAATCTAAAATTGGATGTAGAGCTCAAAAATGTTGAAATATATAGGGTGTTCCATTTGAAAAAATTAAGTTCCACTCATTTTTTCATGAGATCAAAGTATCTGCATTTTTTGAAGAACCTGTATGGGGCAAATGAAAATATGACTCGGAGTGAAGATCCTCATAGTATCACTCCACTCCATTTCAAATTTGATCGTTTTTGTGCAAGAGAGTTCAAGATTATCAGCATTTATAAAAGTTCATGTTTGGTAAAAAAATATGGAAATTAATTTATATCTTCTAAACGGTAATAGATAGGTATAGGGAAATAGTATATGAATTTGTTGACAAAGTGATAATGAATCATAATATGACATTATATACGGGGTGTTCCATTTGAAAAATCAAAGAAGCCGCTACTTTATAGTAGAAGCAACAACGCCGCTTCCCCTGAAATATTTTAGGCGTGTAGGTCATATTGATTTATGCATACTGTGAAATTTTCAGGTTTATCCGTTAAATAGTTTGTCAGAAACGGCTAATTAACGCTCATCATGAAAAGCCCTGTATTCATCACACTGCATGTGCTCTGTGAATGCAAAGCGATACCAAGGCTGAGACACGCAAGATGCGAGAAAGGGAAACCAGAGGCTGTCAGCTATATGGAGGGGTCAGTGTCAAGCCTATGGAGTCTCATCAAAGATATCAAGCTAGACAATGAGCCCTAACAACCAAGGAACATCACAATAGATCTGAAAAGGTAGCAGTGAATCAGGACATGGGCTAGCTCCCCGATAATCTAATCTAATGTTGCGGTCTAATGTTGCGGTCAAATATAAAACATTTCAAAAATTTTCTTTAAACACGTTCTGTGGAACTCATTTGAGTTGCATAATGGGGATACCATATTATTACCCCATATTCTAATTTGCTGTGTACATAACATTTGGATAGTAATGTAAGAGTTGATGGATCTGAAAATTCCCTATAATTCCTCAATATGAAGCCTAATATTTAATTAGCTGAAGACATGGTACTTTGAATATGAGGATTGAATGACATCCTTTGGTTAAATAGTATGCCAAGGTCGCATATTTAAGTCAAACGATTCAAGATTGTATCATTGATATTGTATGGCCATATACATGCATTTTTTTTCCTCGAGAAGGTAACAGTTGAACATTCGTTGATATTCAACTCGAGGTGGTTTGTAGCACACCATACATATACTGTGTTGATTTCATGCTGTAGTGAAATGCAATCTTGCAGTAAATAATATCAATTTAGAATTACCGATCAAAAAAAGCTTCAAAGTATGGACTGACTCCTCTGGACTTCTACGTTAAGGAGGTTGCGTAAATGGACATGTTACGATTGCGCACGGCTGGTGTAAACCTCGAAGTAGAAATGGGTCAATTGAGTCTATGACGAGAAGCGCTTACTGCGCAATATCTGCTGTAGGCAGTCAGTGATTCAATCGAACCCAGGTTTGTGTTTAATACATTCTACAAAATACAAATGAAGGGAACACAGAGTCACATGCTACAAATGTAATACGCATGTTAACAGACGGCTCAAAAACCGAAGAACGCTCAGGATGTGGAGTGTACTCCAGATCACTAAGCCTAAGGATTGATTGGGGGATGGGAAAAATACCAGCGTGGTTCAAACAGAACTGGCTGGTATGTCAATCGCCACAAAATAAATAACCAGGAAAGGAATTTCTGGCAAAAACATAACAATCTGCAGTGATAATAGACAAGCCTTGAACAGACATCGTGTTATCTCACCGCTAGTACTAGAGTGCCTCCAAGATTTGACCAAAGCTTCGGTAGATAATAACATTATCCTGAGGTGGGTTGAAGGGCACGACAGGAGTAAAGGTAATCGCATTGCCGACTCTTCAGCCACGGAAGCAGCTGGACTAAGATACCAGTGATACCTACGGCCGGAATACTTCGACAAATGCGGAACTAACTAAACATCACACCCATGCTCAATGCCTGAAGAAATGGGATGGAATCAAAGGATGCAATCTTGCCAGGATAACCCTTGGCGACCCTGGGAAGCTGGCACCGAAGAAATATCTGGCGGTGACCAGAAAAAGTCTACGCTTAACAGTAGGATTTCTGACTGGCCACTTTCAACTAAGGAAACACCTCCATGATATGGGGCTAGTGGACACACCTCTATGCAGGATGTGTGAACAGGAAGATGAAACTGCCAGGCATGTCTTATGCGAATGTTCGAAGTTATCGTCAATAAGAGATTCTTGGCCTACACTTGCCGATATAAATGAGATGTCTCGTAGTGACCTGTCCACCTTCCTGGAAAGGACAGGATGGACGGTATCCTAGGAAGACAACTCATCGGGAGGATGTACAATAGGTCAAAAAGTGCTGTAGGCCTACACTCACCCTCCCTACTTCACAGATACAGAAGCTTCAAAGTATCAAATAATAGTGAAATATTTCGGAATCATAATTCAAGAGATGACATCACAGACTTTAGACAGGTAGATTCATTGCAAAGTTTTTTTTTCATTGGTAGTGAATTGTTAAGTCAACTTATACCTCGTAATAATCCTGTTCAGGAAGGATCTTCTCCGGTCTTGAAACTATTCCTCTGACTGGGGGTTCCATGTCGTGCACTAGTCTATAAACTTCGGATCTCTGGAGGTAGTCTAAATTTTTCGGCGGTGGTTGATACTTCAGAAAATTTATTCTACAAATGAAACCAAAATATTTAGAAAATTCTTTTGGAAAGTTGCTGAGGGTATTAAATACATATACCCAATTTAAGTAAGAAGTTGTGCCAAAAGAGAATTCAAGGTAATGTCAAATAAACCATTTAGCAAAAAGAGCCATGGTTCAATTTGAAAAGTCTGATTATAATCAGACCTTATCAATAATAATTATTATTGATAAGGTCTGAATAGTGTACAACAAAAAATACTAGGATCAAACACCAAGCTACAGTGAAGCAATTTGGTGTCAAATAGAAGCAAAACACTAATTTATCTTAGACATAAACTTTAGTTTGGGCTGTTGCTGGAGTTACGGCATAAAAACTACAAAAAAATCACTCTAAAAGCTTCAAGTTTTGATTAGCTCTAGCAAAAATACTTTGATAGGTCACAAAAAAAAATCAGCAAGAAAACTTGGCTCATATTCGATACTCACATTAACGAGATTTGATATTTCATTTAGATTTCAATTACAAAGGTCATTATTTATCAACGTATTGAGTAGTATCGATGAGATATCAGCTAAATATATCTCCGTAATGTTTGTTATACACTACTGGGATCCTCAACTTCGCATTCTTCTCCACTAGAAAAATTGCAAAACACACACTTTACCAAATTTCAACATGCTGGATATTGAATACCTAATTTAAAAATATGAACGTCTACGTTAATTTACGTGGAATCTACAAAAAAGTAGACAGCATTCGAATTGTCTCGAACTGATAACTCAATATGAAGAAAATGAAAACCATACTCGTTCGTATATTGCCTTATAAAGCGAAGTTCTAATATCAAACACAGTTTCTTTCAGAAGGAACAGAAAAACAGTTGTTCAATTTCTCTAAGAAATGCTAACTGATCCAAAAGATATCTTCCTTTGTGTAAGAGAGGAAATATATAAAAAATATATTGGTTTAACTGGTCTTACCTGCGTTTGACAGCATGCTTCAAAATTGGACCAGAACTTTGAAATATGACATTTGTTAATGAATCATATGAGAAATTGTTTGATTATGATAAAAACTACCTAGGGGTATTTGTATGACTGTTGTCTGATGTGATGATTTGATATGATTTTGTGAAATTTAGTTGAACAGCTCCTAACTTTGTGAGGTTTTTATATACATGTATATTTATTGTTTGCTTCTAACGGCTACATCAAATGAATTATTCATAATGAATCTATTGATAACACTTTTCTAACACCAGAACAAAAAAGTAAACGTCCTCAGGGGATAGTTATAACTAACTTTTTTAAAACAACTATGTTAGGTTAGGTTAGGTTAGGTTAAAAGTGAGTGGGTCTATTTGACTCTCCGCCGTAACCCGCAAGAGTTTATTGTGACTCACACCTATTCACACTAGGCCAAATAAACCCGGCTTCTTAACGAAGCCGATTAGTTTGTATGGTGAGTGGTATTTCAGGTGTGATGGTAAGAGTACGGATCTGCCGAACTCTAAGTATATGCTAAGTATATGCTCTGCTGTTTCATCATTTACCAAACAGAGGCGACACACACTATCTTCCGACAGTCCAAGTCTCTGCATATGATGATTCAAATGACAGTGACCAGTAGTCCAAGATCTGTTTGGTATCAAGCTTCGAAGGGTGAATAAACGCCTTGGAGTGAGCCAATCCTGGAAGATTCTGCCAGAAGTCCATAAATCTTTTTGCCATCTAGGTGTTCATTGTTTGTTTGGCAAAGCCCAAAGCGATGCCAATTACAGGTTCTAGTCCGATGAAGTCGCTTGCAGCACCCTCCTTTGCAAGAGAGTCAGCAGCTTCATTACCTTCCAGGCCAGTATGGCCAGGAATCCAGACCAGAGACAATCTGTTAAGTCTTCCTATCGAGGAGAGTCGTTTTTAGCAATTTGCTACCAATTTAGACGTTGCTCGGTAGGAGTCAAGAGCTTCCAATGCCGCTTGACTGTCTAAACATATTTTTATTGACTAGTGTGTGAGGTTGGATTTATCCAATCTCTCCGCACACAATTCAATAACGTACATTTCCGCTTGAAATACAGTCGCATAAGTTCCTAGACAGGTAGATATCTCTGTCCTGGGTCTGCGACTAAAAACACCTGCACCAGAACCGGAAGGTGTTTTTGATCCACCTGGGAACCAACAACTAACTGCTCTTAATATTTCCTTCTCCCGGAGGATCCAGTCCTCTTTATTCGAGAATAGTACTTTATAAGGCAGTTCATAGTTGAAAGTTGGAAACTTTATGAGGCAGTTTGTAGTTGACAGTTGAAGGATCTCCATGGTCGCTAACGGTTTGGTACTGATGGCAACAGTGATAGCCAGACAAGCCTGTCTGGCCACTAGCATATAAAAACACCAACTATGTTGGTGGTATGCTAGTGGCCTAGCATAGTTGGTATGCTAGTGGCCTAAATACTACCGGTTCATATTACCACCGTATAGAAGTAAATACAAGTAAGTTCACTCTCCGCCATATTTGGGTCAAGATTCCCCAGCTCGAATTTTTTGCGCAGCTGAACTACAGCGCTACCGACTGAATCTGATGGGTTTACCAAGCGAGCCAAGTTGAGGCATGGAATATTATTACAGAGTGAGTCGTTGTAAGTGGTGGTTTTGTATTTGTGAAAGTTTCAAAATGAACAAGTGTCGAGCTGTGGGTTGCTGTTATTTGCAGGGTGATGTCGGCATTAATTTTTTTCGATTTCCAATTGACGAAAAAATGTATGTTTTTCCAGTATCCATTATGTAAGATTGAAGGAATGAACATATAACGAAAATCATAAAATAAATTGTTATAGACCAAATATATGCAGACTTTTTTATGAAATCAATTTGATGATATTAAACGTTACGAATAGTATATGCCTCAAAAGTAATAATATAAAATGACAAAACAATCGGAGTTCCACTGGAAATCCACAAAGGAAAATAATTGTTGAACCGCATTTTTTCATTTGGCAACTGAATTGGTACTAAGAATAATGTTCATGACCAAATACTTTCTTTATATAAAAAAAGCTCAGAATTATGAACTTATTTTCAATGGAACATTTCTCATCTTCGAGAAGGGGCGGCATCCACCATCAGGGTGAAAGCAACCCCCGTTATACAGGGTGTTTATTGACGATGCGTCAAAAAATCAAGGGACTATTACTTGGACCACCCTAAGGATATTCTGTCCTTTGATGATTTTTGATAGGGCGCTATCTTTCGATGGTACGGGGCTAAAGAGAATTTTGACAATAACACTTTTGGTAGTTTAAAAATTATTAAATAAACGAAATAAAAGTATGGCGTACTTCACTGGACCTAGCAAGTAATAAAAAATCTAACAATTCCGTTGGTACTTATCAACAACATTTCGATTACTAGAAACGACTGTGGACATTCAATTTGCTGGGTGTAACGCAATCAAAAACGATCCTGGTGTTTTTGTAAGAGTTCGGGAGTCGATGAGGAGAAGATTGGATTCTTGTATCCGAACGGGGGTATCATTTCAACAATTCTTGTAGATTTAGAAACATAACATGAATTTTTTGATAATAAATTGTTATTGTTGAATTTCTTTTTCGCTCCGTATCTTCGAAACTAAGCGCCCTATCAAAAAACATCAAAGGAAAAATTATTCTTGAAATAGTCCAAGGAATACCCCCTGAAATTTTAGCCGCATGTTTAATAAACACCGTGAAGAGTAAATATAACAAATCAAAATTTTATGAGCATCGATGCGATTGGCAAAATCATACGTTCATTGACTGGACTATAATTTTACACTGAAACAGTTTGAGAAACATTGCGAGTATTAGAAAAATGAAATGATTGTTAATAATGATTGTACTCACTTCTTAGTTGCAATAACTCTACTAGGAACCATCCAGCAATTTGACTCTCTGAAATTCACAAAACTAAAACATGCTGTTTAGTCTATTCTGATCAAATACGATAATGTTATGAGAATGGATAAAAAACTAAATAATTATCAAAAATATTGAAATAAAACTGTTTATAATTATGTTGAATACTATTTTTTCGCAGTAGGAATGAGTTCCAGTTTTTTGAAGGATTTCAAAAAACCAGATGAACGTCTTTGTTAATTTGATTTTATTAAATTGAGTTGAAGGAAATCAAACTAGTTCAGTTCAACTTTTTCAATTGCTATTCACCATATGCATGATTGTGGCTGTTCAGTTGAGAACTAACAAGTGGTAAAAAAGATTTTCCATTGGCATTGTAAGTTTCAGTGCTTTTTCACACACACATTAATTTCTACCTTATAAATAGCTTGATATCATACTCATCGAAGAGAGTGTGGAAAAAGGTATCTTGTATAGTCAAAGTAAACGGTATAGTGCACTCTTAAAGTTGGCGGTACTATCAAAGGCCAAGAGACCAATACATAGACATGAACAGGGTGCAAACTAGTCCACGTGGACTGTAGACTTGGCGGTTCGTATTGGATAATTTTTATTAACCGGGTTTTATGATTGGCTGAAGAGTTATAAAACTAAATTTGATGTCATGGATCACAGAAGAATCGTACATTCGCAGAAAACAATTTCCATTTAGAACTAGGTCATACTATCTTGACTCCTGTCAATACAGCTGAAAACTTAGTGATGTTTGACACTGATCTTAGATTCACTAGTCATGTTGAAAATTTAATGAAAAAAGCTTATATGTCATTGAAACTATTATACTGTAATCGTTTTATTTTGAGTCAATCTCTAAAAAGAATGATCTGTGGTAGTTTGGTGCTAAGCCATTTCAACTACTGTGACTTCATATATGGGCCATACTTATATGATTCAGATAAAAAAGAATACAAAAAGTGCAAAAGTTGCCATCTAATTTATGGATTTCGTAAGTATGATTCAATTTCTGAAGCCTTTAAAAACTCCCGCTGGCTCAATATGAAAAACTGTATGATTCATCATTTGGGTTGTTTTGTTTCTAAGTTGATTACCCTCCCAAATTCTTCCCTTTTAATAC